CCCCTTCCACTTCTGACCATCAGCCCTCTCAGACTGAACCCTTTTCTGACTGGGACGAGTTCCACGAGGCTCTTGCACCTTCATCCTCTTCATCCCCTTCTTCTTCCAACGCACCTCCTTCATCACTCCTTTCCCCTCTCGACATTAATCTTTACCAGAGCATTGTCGGTAGCCTCATGTACGCATCCGTCTGCACTCGCCCAGATCTCTCTCATGCTGTGGGCGTGCTTTCTCAGTTCCTTTCCGCGCCATCTACTCAGCACTTGAATGCTGCGAAGCGTGTCCTGCGCTACCTCTCCGGATCTAAATCTTTTGGTCTCTTCTTTCATGGACATGAGCATGGTAGTGTCATGCATGGTTTCACGGATGCGGATTGGGCAGGTCCTCTTTCAAAGCGGAAGTCCACTGGCGGCTACATGTTTGTGATAGCGGGAGCAGCCATTTCTTGGCAATCGAAGAAGCAAGGCTGTGTGGCATTATCTTCAACGGAGGCGGAGTACATGGCTGTGACGCAAGGAGCAAGAGAGGCTGTGTGGTTGAGAGGGTTGCTGACAGAGTTGGGTCTTCCCCAGCATGAGCCGACCATTCTTCACATTGACAACACATCGGCGATCGCCTTGAGCAAGAACCCGGTCTATCATGGACGCACAAAGCACATTGATACCCAGTATCACTACATTCGAGAGCTGATCAAGAACAAAGTTGTGGCACCGACCTACTGCAGCACCACGGACCAGGCTGCTGACTTCCTGACTAAGATCCTCCCCCGGCACCTCTTTCTTCTTGGCCGCCACCGTGCCGGATTGATGCCGATCGAGTCTCTTGGGTGCTTCTCCACTGCTGTCCCTTCCGCTCATTCTTCTCGCTCGGAGGGTCAGCAGTGCGGGGGGGTGTTGAAATGAACTGCTGCTGCTGCTCGCGTGGCACCAGGGTGGCGGAAAAAAAAAAAAAAAAAAAAAAAAATTCACGTGGCGAAAATTTTCGCCACAGTTTCCCCGTCAGCCAAAATTCGAATCTGCAAAGGGCATCTACCAACATTACCCATTCGCCACTTCATCATCCTTATCTCCAGTCAGCAAGACACACTTCCATTTTCACCCAATACAAATCCTTCAATCCTCCACCTCATCTCTTCTCCAATCCTCCTCAACCTTCTCATCCCAAACTCCACCAATCAATCCAAAGATTCCCTACCAAGCCTTAAATCAAAGCCCCATTCATTCCAATCACCAAGCCTTAATTTCAAGGCCACATTCATCCCACTCACCAAGCCTTAATTTCAAGGCCACATTCATCCCACTCACCAAGCCTTAACTTCAAGGCCACATTCACCACCCCCACCTTATCCAACTTAACCAATCACAATCATTCATCTCCTCCTCTCCTTCATCCAACCTCAAGCTCCACCAAATACAAAACAAAGGGTCCACCCCATTCTTTACTCATACTTTTCAAGCAATTTTTACCCAAGCTCTCAACAAGTTCTACTCTAAGCTCTCTCAAGGCCACTTCAAAGTCCTCCTCCTCATGCCCAACTCCTAAGGCTCCACTCATCACCTCAACCTCTCCCAACCCAAGCTCATAGCCATGTTCTCCAACTCTAGAGAAGTTTATGCTTCATAGTCTTTCTACTAGATTGTTAATCAATGGTTGCTCTTCAAGTCCATCATGTACCTCCTTTGGACTAGTGCATTTTAAGTTTTAAGGCCTCAACATCAACTTTGACTTTCTTCCAATCAAGACTCAAGTTTCACCTTCTTCACTCAACAATCATTGGAGGTTCTTCTCAACACAACAAACAAGATCTACACCTCAACACTCAAGCTTGGAAGGTGCTTCTCCACTCAACAATCAACATCTACTACTCAACAATCAAGCTTGGATCTCACTCTCTTTCCAACAATCAAGATTCACAATTCAAGCTTGGCTTCTTCAAGTTACAAAGCTCCTTCAAAATGACAAGTAAGAGTCTTTAAGGTAAGTCACCTCCTTTCACTCTTGTCAAGCTTCTCAATTCAAGCTTCCCTATTTAAAGCTTCTTCATTCTTATCAAATCTCCTTTCCTATCAAATCTTAGTTGTCATTATCAAGTTTGTTTAATTTTCAAGCTCATTTACCTTTTCATCAATCACCCATTCAATACCTTTCTTCCAATCAATTGCTCTTTCCCTTTAATGTTTTCATCATCTTTCTTTCAAGTTGTTATTTTTCTCTTTAACCTTCTTATTTAAAGTCTTCAAATTCTTACTTAATCTCTTCTCAAAGAGTTTCTTTATCTCATCAAATTTGTCTTACTTCACTCTTAACTCTTTCTTCTAGGTGTTTTTCTTTCTCTCTACTTGCTATTTACCCTTCCTAATCCTTTACCAAATTTCAAGAAGCTGGAGGTCAAGTGCGGAGGCAAAGAAATTGATTGTCATTGACGCGGACCGCGACTTCAACCGGCCAATCGCCGCCACCGCTTAACGTAAGGCAACCCCTAGCCAGAAGAGAGTCTCGTGTAACTTCGCGACAGTTTCATTCAAGCGAATTCGCATGCTGCCTGAGCCGCAAATTGCCGAAATGCTGCATTGCGAAAGGTCTGCACCGCTTCCCGCACCGCATGTCGGCCAATGTGGACGCGCACGCACCCAGTAGTCCCCCAACCCTGTCGGATATATAAATGGCGTTTCGTGCCTCAAGTGCATCGAATCCCATTCGTGCCTCCTCAACTCCTCTCTCATCCCACTTCAATTTCTCTCTTCCCACTCCAATTTCACTCGACTAAGAACGTTCGCGAGCAGTCCAGCCACGCGATCCAGTCTCATTTTCCACAGCTCCCCGATCCAGCAGATTCTTCACGAAAATCGTACGCATATTCGCGAAAAATGGCCAGTTCACGGTTCATTCCAATCTTCGGCCTGCTCTGCGTCGTGCTATGCTTCGCCGCCGCTCACGCACAAGCACAAGCGAAGCCCACCAAGGCGCAAATAAAAGCCGAGCTGCAGAACATGGCGAACGCCATCACCAAGAAGTACCCGCAATACTCTAAATACGCAAGGGACATCAACAAGTACATCGGCCTAGCACGTAAGGACTTCAAATCGTTACATTCTTTTTCTCTCTCTCACTCTCATTACGACGTTTAGCCTCGCCTCATTCTCGTTCAAACGCGAGCAGAAAGTCCCTCACTTAGAATCGTGAAAGTGCGGCGGGATACCGGCTATCGCGCTCCTCTCTTCAGCTTCGTAGCTGGAATTGATATGCGCATCTCGCCACCTATCAGCTATACTCTCTCTACTAGCCCGCGTATTGACAGTATTCGGATCCGCGCTCAGATTCTGTCTCCCCTCTCTCACTCTCTCTCTCCCCTCTCCCTCTTTCCCCCTCCCTCTCCTTCTATCTCCAGTGAACTCCAAGTACGATTTCACTGCTCTCAGCGACGCGACCCTCCTACTCCCCAGCGACACGGAGGCCCAGGCCCTCGCTAAGAAGGTTCCCGCTAACAAGGCCAACATCCCGAAAATCTACAACATCACCGCGTATCACATCATTCGCAAGAAGTACACCGTTCCCGCCCTCACGGCGCTCAAGAAATCGCAGCCGCTGGCGACGCAGCTGAAGCAGGCAATGTACAAGGTTTCGGTGCAGAATGGTAACACCGTTTCCCTCGCCAAGGCTCCCAACGCCCCCCCTGCCGCGTGGACGACGATCAAGATCGTGCGGCTGTACGCTGGGCCATACTTCATCGCCCACGGCGTGGATAAAGTCCTGATTCCCCCTAACACCAAAGTGTAACCCTTGAGGATACTTGAACGTGGCTCGGTCCTTAGTTGACAGTCAGTCGTGCTGCTGGTTCAACCTCTGAACTCGAGATGACTGGAGGTCAACTGAGCATCAAGGCATATCATCTCATAGGGGCCTCGTGAGGCCAGTTTATGAAGATGTCACGATGTACAGCAATCAACCCTATCTATTACCGTACCTTCAGTATAGTACTTATTTCCAGTATTTCAAACTTCGTGAAAGGTCTCTGTGCTATTGGAGTTGCTGCGGAACCAGAGAAGGTCCATCAGGCCTGGAGCCATCAGTCTACCGCATATTTGTAGGCTTGACTCGTTCCAATACCTAACCTATCAAGGCCTGCTCCCAGCGCTGCAGCACGATTTTGAACTTCCAGAGAGCCCTATGTACCAAGTACACCTACATCTGCATCTTCGAGCAAACAAACACAAAAAAATGCTTATAGTGAAAATCGGATGGAGGCAACATTGAAAAAACATAAAACCATCAGATAAGTGTGTAACAATAGCCCCATGGAGTGAGGGCTGAGCTGTTCCAACCTTGCTTTCTAACTTGACGTGTCCTATACGGCGACCAATGGCCAAGAAGGGCCACATCTGGGAGTGTAGGTGTATATTCCAGTCTAACTGCTGGTTGACTGGTTGAGTGTGGTTGAGTATTGTTGAATGTGGTTGGATATGGTTGAATGTGGTTGACGAGGATTGATAAGTGAGCGGGGAGTGGCACGGCTGGGAGGATAAGTCCAAGCAGGCAATCAAGGGATTCGGTAGTAACCCCCAGCAGTTCGCACATCTCCCGGGACCATGGCAGCACGTAGAGGTCACTCAGATTCATAGCGTCTGATCAAGATCGAGTGCAGTTGGGTGCGGTGGAGCGAGGTTTGATCAGTGAGCTGGAAGAAGAACGGCTGGGAGGATGAGGCCGAGCAAGCAATCAGGCGACTTAGTGGTGACTCCCAGCAGTTCGTACATCTCCCGGGACGGGACCACGGCAGTACGTTTAGCTTGCTCAGGTTCACAGCGGTTGAGAGCGATCGAGTGAGGTTTGATCAATGGGCGGGGATCGGTACAGCTGGGAAGATGAGGCCGAGCAAGCAATCAGGCGACTTAGTGGTGACCCCCAGCAGCTCACACATCTCCCGGGACCACGGCAGCATGTAGAGTTGACTCCGACTAACAACAGTCAAATGCAGTTGAGTGTGGTTGAATGAGGTTTGATCAGTGGGCGGGGAGCGGCACAGCTGGGAGTATGAGACCGAGCAGGCAGTCAGGGGAGTCGGTAGTGACCCCCAGCAGCTCACACATCTCCCGGGACCACGGCAGCACGTAGAGCATACGTGGCCACACGCCATTGGCCGGAGGGATCTTCACCACCCCTGCACGCTCCTTCTGTCGCAAATAGTCCACCATGCGCGTGAACTGTGGGCATGTGAAGAGGGGGGCAAGGGGAGGACGGGAGAGGACGAGGAGACGAATGAGACGAAGCTTCTTCTGCCGCAGATAGTCCTGCCATGCACTTGAACTGGGGGTTGGGTTCAAGCCAAGACCTGCAGTGTCGGTTGCATTGGGTACAACGGGGTGAACATGAAGTCAACTTGAGAATCGCATTAAGCCGACTCGAACCGGCCAGCAGTTTTTACGCATGCTTGCTTCAAAAGGCACTCATTCCAGAGGATCTGGGTGCAACTTGCAGGTCAACTGGCCAGCAAGCAGCATCGAGTGAGAAAGAGCTGACTGCAAGTTGCTTGCAGGTGGCAAGCACGCAACTTGCACACGGCATACCCGTTTCAAGAGACACTCACCCCAGAGAATGGGCCAGCAGCGAGTTGATTTTTGAGTCGACTCAAAAATCAACACACTCACCCCAGAGGATGGGCCAGCCGCGTCGGTTGGGCGAGCAGCAGAGGATGAGGAGGGCAGCGGGACGAGAAGGCACACCTCCCTCTGATGCACACACACAGGGGCGGCCAGAGCGCGCGATAGAGAAAAAAATAAAAGGAAAAAACGTATATACGAAACAACGGATGAGAGGAGCAGGTCGGGGAACATGAAAGGAACAACATGCACATGAATGAAGATGCAAAAAGCACCGGAGGATGCTTGTTGGGAATGGAAGCAACGGAGGATGCATAACATAACATGGGGCTGTGAACTGACGTGATGATGATGATGATGATGATGATGATGATGATGATGATGATGATGATGATGATGATGATGATGATGATGATGATGATGATGATGATGATGATGATGATGATGATGATGATGATGATGATGATGATGATGATGATGATGATGATGATGATGATGATGATGATGATGATGATGATGATGATGATGATGATGATGATGATGATGATGATGATTGATGATGATGATGATGATTGCGATGAAACATGCTTTGAGAATTCATGGTTAATAAGGGCCTTCCTAACAGGAAAATATTGGTGAGGAATATCCACGCAGGAGAAGAGGCTTACCCGAGAGCTGGGGCAGGCATTGAAAGTGTTTCGCACTGCCCGGAAATCTGCCCGCTTTGTCACATCCAACTTATCAGGCCACCTGGCAAAAAAGCAGGGAATAGGGATCACCAAAGGCATGACCAATGCACACCAAACAGCGCACGACGGACGATTTCAGTCTCATCCCATCGGTGCAGCTCAAGCTGTGCCCCAACCCAATAAGGGACGATTCCTGAGGCACCTGTATGTTTTGAGACGTCTCAAAACTAGCGCACGACGGACGATTTCAGTCTGATCCGTGCAACTCAAGCTGTCCCCCAATAAGGGACGATTCCTGAGGCACCTGTAAACAATCCTCACCCGAGTGGCTCGTGCTGGCCTGCTTTGAGCAAGGGGTTGTAGCGACTGCCTCGGATCTGCTGCCTGGCAGCGGCCTGCAAAGTTGGAGTATACGCTCAGAGCCTCAAGCGTGTCACGTATATACGCTTGCGTTTGAACGCTATATGCTATACACTAGGGAATACGCAATGCGCAGTCAGAAATTTTGTAGGGCTGCCCGAAAAAAAAATTGCGGAATAGGTGCGGAATTTCTTGGTGAGCATTTCGCGGAAGTCGAAATGCTAATCGGTGGTCTAGGCAAGCGGAAATGTGACTTCGAAGTTTGGAGGCGTGTCTGGATCCAAATGTTGAATCTCATATTAGTACTGCATTGGAACCCATACCATCTACGAACTCCAACCTGTCCAAACCCACCCCCCCAACAAACCCCACGCTGCTTACCAGCCAGTCAGCCCTAACCTCGACATTTCTAAATTTCATTTCATCTCGATCTCGCCGACCTCTTTCTCTCGACGAGTATGACTAGACTGCAAGTACCAACTTCGTGCTTTGCACCTCCCCCATCCCCCGCTCTAAACCTAACGAACTGCCCGGGGAAAAAATTTAGGTGCCCGGGCCTGCGTATTCTCTGCGTACAGGAAGCCTCCCAAGAAGCGTTCGGCGTTTATACGCTAGCGGATAAACGCTAGCGTGTGAAACGCGAAACGAGTATTTTCCAACTAAGGCCTGCACTTGTGTGTGTTGAGTCGACTCAAAACACACCTGCCCTGCACTCTCAACTCCAACTCACCCGAGTGGCTCGTGCTGGCCTGCTGTGAGCGCGGGGTCGTAGCGGCTGCCTCTGATCTGCTGCCGGGAAGCAGCCACGTGGCAGTACATCACCCCGCTCTTGCACAGCGCAAAGCGCGGCAGCAGCGACAGCTGCAGCTGCTGCTGCTGCTGCCTCTGCGCCTGCAGTTCCTGCAGCACCATCTGCTGCTGCTGCTGCTGCTGCAGCTCATCCGCCTTCTCCCCTTCTCCTCGCCTTTCCTCGCTCACGCCAGCTGTCGATGTGTCTTTCTTTGACTCGTTTCCGTCCGCTTCCCGCCCTTCCTCCCTCACAGCCTTCCTTTCCATTTGCGAAGAGGCAGCACCAACACCAGCAGCACCAACCGCAGCACCAACGTCAGCAGCAGCAACACGAGAAGGGGCAACACCGCCAGAAATACCAACACCATTAGCAGCAGTGGCAGCATCAGCAACAGCAGCAGAAGCAGCAGCAGCTGACGTTGGTAAAGCAGAGGACGAGGGAGGAGGAGGAGGTGGAAGGGGAGGGGGTCCAGGAGGAGCAACAGGAGACTCTTGAGGGGGTGGGGGCGGGGGCAGGAGTGGAGGAGGAAGAGAAGGGGGAGTAGGAGCGGGGGGCGATAGGGGTACAGTAGGGAAGCGGGGAGGGGAGGGTTGCAAGACAGGAGGCTGGGCAGCAGCAGTGTGAGGCGCAGACACAATCGCAGGCACAGGCGCAGGCACAGGAACAGGCATAGGCATAGGCACAGACATGTGCTTGATAGTGGCACCATCGTCATCATCAAAATCCATGTCTGTTTCCTCCTGTGCTGCCCCCATGCCCTCCTGTGCCCCCATACCCTCTTGTCCTCCCATACCCTCCATACCCATACCCATACCCATACCCATACCCATACCCATACCCACAGAGGGAGCAGCAGCACCACCCACTGCACCACCCGCTGCAACCGCTCCCCCTTCTCCTGCCCTTCCACCCCCTCCTCTTTCTCCTCTCTCCTCTCCTTCCCCTGCAGCCCCCAACAAGCCTGCCCTGTCTGTTGAGTCTGTGAGGGGGAGAGACGATGCGGGGGGTGGGAGGGGCGGGAGAGGCGTGACAGGGGCGGCAGTGGGTGGGAGCGGAACAATGGCAGATGGATGGGGAGAAAGAGGAGGAGGAGGCAGAGGAGGGGGGGGAGGAAGCGACGCAAAAGCTGTACCAATCGGTGATGCTGCTGCTGCTGCTGCTCCTGCTCCTGCCATTGCTCCTGCTCCTGCTGCTCCTCCTGCTCCTGGTCCTGCCCCTGCCATCCCACCTGCTGTGCCCATCCCGCCCGCAAAGTCATCTCCCACCCGTGCACTATCCCACTTCCGAGATATCTCAAAACTGGCCCCTCCTCCGTCCGCTGCCCCTGCACCTGTCATAACACCTGCTGTTACATCTGCCGTTACACCTGCCGTTACACCTGCTGTTACATCTGGCGTTACACCTGTACCTACACCTGCCCCTCTGCCCCTAGTAGACCCCACGAGGTGAGAGGGGTGGGGTGGGAGAGAGGTGGAGGAAGAGGGTGTGTGCAGATGGGAAGAGGGGATGTGTGGATGGGAGGCGGAAGAGTGTGAATGGGAGGAGGGGATATGAGGATGGGAGGAAGGAGTGTGTGGATGGGGATGAGAGGGTTCCCGAATGTCCCATCTGCTGCTGCTGCCACTTGCAGTGAGTCTCGGGGCACTTTCCTCTGTTAAACTGTTACCACCACCAGCACCAACACCACCACCAGAGCCAGCACCAGCAGCACTACCACCGCCACTGGCACCTGAAACAGCGCCAGCAGTTGAAGCAGCAGTGGCACCTGAAACAGCAGCAGCGGCGGCCGCAGCTGCAGCTGCTGCAGCGGCAGCGATGTTCCCAGCAGCGATCTGCTGCTGCTCTGCCTGCTGCAACGACATAGCAGAGTTGCTGGGGGAGGGGGGGGCAGGCAAGTTTAAGGGAGAGGGAAGGAAAAAGCGTGTTATTTAAGGCGCTTAAAAAAACACCAGCGGGCTGCAGAAATGTTCCCTGCAGCGATTTTGCTGCTCTGTCTGCTGCAACAACATGGCAGAGTTGCTGGTGGAGAGGGACAGGCAAACAGGAAGGAGCAGGAAGGAAGACGGGGAGCAAGGTTGGGAAGGATGAGGAAGGGGCTTGACGGGGAAGACGGCATGCAAAGGGGATGTTGAAGCTGCGTGCAAAACCCGCTAGTAAGAGCTCGAAGAAGGTCGTGAAGATCGAAGATCCTGTTTAAGGGGACGGAGGCAGACATCGAAGCGCTGATTAAGGAAAGCAAGAAAGTGGTTAGGAAAGGAGGGATGAGTAGAGGCAGGGCTGGGCGGGGCGAGCAAGGGGGCGAGCAGGGGGGCGAGCAGGGGGGCGAGCAGAAAGTTCAGCCCCCCTGCTCGCCCCCCTGCTCGCGCCCCCTGCTCGCCCCCTTGCTCGCCCCGCCCAGCCCTGCCTCTACCCATCCCCCTTTTCCTAGCCACTTTCTTGCTTTCCTTAATCAGCGCTTTGATGTCTGCCTCCGTCCCCTTAGAATCTTCAAGACCTCTTTCCAACTCTTAGTAGCGGGTTTTCCAAGCATCTTGCCTACCGCTTCAAATTGCTCACCTGAACTGCACTTGGACTGCAGAATCAAATCTCTCCGAAGCCACAATGTTCCTCAGCGCAGTAGCAGCCGCCTCGACTCGGTCAAACTCGATGAACCGGCACGGGCCCCTCATGGATCTCGCACTCCGCACGCGCGTCACATACCCCCTGCCCGCCGCAGCAGCCGTGAAAATCCCCTGTAACTCGGATTCAGACAGGCTGAACGCAGCCATGGCTGCTGCTGCACTGGCGGCGGAGTGGGTTGAGATTGCCTGCTCTGATATGCCCATCCAGAGAGTGCTAGTGGGTACCCGCTCCTTCCCTCCTGTTCCGTACACCACTCCTGCTCCTGCTCCCGCTCCTACTCCTGCTCCTCCCGCTCCTCCTGATCCAGCCCCAGCTCCTCCTATTCCTGCCGAGCCTGCTGCCAAACCTGTGCCCGCACCTGCTGCTGCTCCTGCCGCACCTGCTGCCCCTGCAGCCCCCCCATCATGGTCCCTCTCTCTCACCCCACCCTCACCTACCCCCACCAGCCCGCCTCCCGAACCTATCCCACCGGCACCCAGGCCCGGCACCGAGCCTGCGCCCAAGCCTCCGCCCAAGCCTGCGCCCATGCTTCGGAGGAACCTGAGGCTGGCAGCGGACTGGGCGGCAAGGGTGTGGGCGGCGGCAGACTGGGCGGCGAGAGTGTGGGCAGCAGTGGGGGTGAAGGGGAGGCGGGAGGGGAGGCCTGGGATGGGGAGGAAGGCGAGGGGCATGAGGCGAGCTGCGGGGGAGAGGGCGTGCAGGTGGTGCAGGTGGGAGAGAGAGGCGTGTTGGGGGGAGGGTGCTGCTCGTGATGCCGCATGCTTGAATTCCACCTGGTGGAGGAAGTGGGGGAGGCAAGGGGGGAGGCAAGGGGGGAGGCAAGGGGGGAGGCAAGGGGGGAGAGAGGAAGGCATGAGGCGGGCAGAGCAGGAGGCAGAGCAGGGGACGACAGGGGGAGAGAAAGGCATGAGGCGGGCTGCGGGGGAGGAGAGGGCGTGTAGGTGGTGCAGGTGGGAGAGAGAGGCGTGTTGGGGGGAGGGTGCTGCTCGTGATGCTGCATGCTTGAACTCCACTTGGTGGGAAGAGCGGGGAAAATAGGGGCATGAGGCGAGCTGCTGGGGAGAGGGCGTGCAGGTGATGCAGGTGAGAGGCGTGTTGGGGGGAGGGTGCAGCTCGTAATGCTGCATGCTTGAACTCCACCTGGTGGACGATGGGGGGTGAAAGGGGGAAAGGGAGTGGGGAAGAGGAGCATGAGGCGGGGAGGAGAGGGCGTGCAGGTGGTGCAGGTGGGAGAGGGAGCAGGCGGGGTGGGGGGAGGGTGCAGCTCGTGATGCTGCATGCTTGAACTCCATCTGATGGACGATGGGGAGGAGGGGAGAGGGGAGGAGGAGAAACGGAGGAGGAGGTGAGGTGAGGGCAAGAAAAGGGATAAGAAAGAGAGAAGGGCAGCAGCAGTGGGGACAGGGAGATGCAGTGGGAGGATTTGAGGCGTCTCAAATTTTGAGACGTGATAAGAGTGAGGTTGTGAGACGTCTCAAAAAGGACAAGAAAGGGAGAAGGGCAACAGCAGTGGGGACAGGGAGATGCAGTGGGAGGAGGGAGCTGCTCTGCTCGTAATGCTGCATGCTTGAACTCCACCTGATGGACGCAAGGGGGGATGGGGGAGAGGGGGGAGGCGGGGTGGGGAGAGGGAGCTGCAGAGGGAGGAGGGAGCTGCTCTGCTCGTGATGCTGCATGCTTTCACTCCACCTGATGGACGAGGGGCGAGGCGGGGAGAGATAATGGAGAAGGGGAGAGAGAGGAAGAGGGGGGAACAAGTCGCGAGAAAGTGAGGGTGGAAGAGGGTAAGAAGAGGAGGTGCATATCTGGATGTTGAAGCAGCCGTATCGTGCTCCATGGAGGGTGGATTCAACTCAGAAGTGCGTACAGACTCCGCTCAAAATGCAACACACTGACTGACTGGCATGTGTCAAAGTGCACAGCACAGCACACACCCCACAGAGGTGCCACACCTGGATGTTGGAGCAGCCGTATTTGCATTTGAGTCGACTCAAAAGCAGATTCAAAGTGCACAGCACAGCACAGCACAGCACAGCACAGCACAGCACAGCACAGCACAGCACAGCACAGCACAGCACAGCACAGCACACACCCCACAGAGGCGCCACACCTGGATGTTGGAGCAGCCGTATCGTGCCCCGTTGAGTCGGGACCGTGCCAAAATAGCCGACTCTGCCGACCGGAAATCAATAAACGCCGACACGAGCGAAGCACCTCCAGACTGACCCTTCACTCCGTCTGCCGCCCCTCCTGCTCCCGTGCTCCCTCCCCCTTCACTCTCCCCACCACTGAAACCACTGCCAGCAGCAGCAGCAGCAGCAGCAGCTGCTGCTGCTGTTCCAGCTGGCCCTGCTCCAGATCCGCCTGCTCCCGCTCCTCCCTCTTGCTGACCTGGCGGCTTCACAAAGCGCCAGCTGGCGATCTCGCCGTACTGTGCAAACGCCGACAGAATCTCGTGCTCGGGGACCGTCGGATCGATCTTCCCCACCCACAGGTGCCGGGCGGCAGACGGGCCGCCCACCACCAGCGCTGACGTCATCCCTGACGCGGCGGCTGCTGCCGCCGCTACAGCCTGCGCGCCGGGGGTGTTGGCTGCTGCTGCCGCTACAGCAGCTGCTAGAGCCTGCTGGGTTGTTGTGTGGGTAGGGGTAAACCCCCCCACCCCTGCTGCTGCTCCTGGTGCTGCCAGTGCTGCTGGCGTGCCTGCTGTTGCTGCTGCCGCTGCTGCTCGTGCAGCTGTTGCTGCTGATGGTGTGGTGCTGGCTGTTGCAGAGGGAATGGCAGATCCTGAGCCGCGGATAACAGGGGAAAGAGCTGCAGCCGCAGCAGCAGACGCCGCCGCCGCTGCAGCAGCAGCAGCTGAGGAATGAGCGGGGGGGCTGGAGAACCCCCCCCCGAAGCTACCACCAGGACCGGCAGCAGATGCTGCTGCTGGTGATGGCGATGGTGACGGTGATCCTGCTGCTGCTGCAGCAGACAGAGGAGGGGTTTTGGTTACAGAGTAACCTCTCTCTTTACTCCCCCCTCTTCTGAATCCCCCTGCTAGCCCACTATCTCCACCAGCATCACCAGCAACACGACCATCAGCTGAAGCAGAACCAGCAGGGGTCGCACCACGGACATACCCACTCTCTCCTCCCCCATCCCCCTCTCCTCCTCCCCCTGCTGCCCCTCCCCCTGCTGCTGCCGCTGGCACTGGCACCACCCCTCGTTTTAAGAACATCAGCGCCATGTTAGCGTCCTCCTGCCTCCTGAATTCCAGGAGCAGTGCGCTGGCGCTGACTAGGACCGACACATGGGCGGGCGGCGGGACTCTGGCAGATGCCAGCCGCTGCAGCAGGCTCTCCTTGGCGCTCGCACTGTTCACGCCGCCCACCCACACATGCAGCCGAGAAGCAGGCGGCAGAGCCTCAGAACTCCCGCTAGCAGTCGCAGCAGGAGGCAGAGGAAGAGGAGGCGTACCTGCTCGACCCATCTCCACCCCTCTCTCTCCCCCTATTCCCCCCCCCACCCCTCCAAACCCCCCCAAATGCGCTCCCAAAAACCCTAACCCTAAGCCCCTGCCAGCAGCAGCAGCGGCGGCGGCAGCAGCAGCAGCTGCACCTATAGGTAACCCCAACGCCCTCCGGTTACTGGTAACAAGACCAAGAGGCGAGCCGGTGAGACTGGGAGAGAACCCAGTTTGCCTCATGCCACCCTCTCTATACCCTAGCTCCCGCAGGCTGTCTCGATCCCGATCCCTCCCATCCATCCCTATCTCTCCTCCTCCTCGCTCTCGTGCCAACATCAGCCCTCCCCCACCAGGTATACCTGCACCAGGTAACAGCCCCCCCGGTCCATCCCCAAAGCGCACGTGCAGCCTTCTCCCCCACAGCACCACCCCATTCAGCCCCTCCCTCGCCCTCACAGCCTCCCGTACAGTCACCATCGTTACAACCACATGCACTGGCAAACCCTGCTCCCTTCCCCCACCCCCTCCTCCCCTTCCTCCCCCTCCTCTCCCTCCTCCCCCCCCCCCCTCCTCCTCCCAACCCATCCCTCTCCTCCCCTCCACCAACACCCCCTCCGAACCCCCCACCAGATGCACCTACCCCAGTTCCACCTACCCCGCTGCCCGCCACCACCACCACCTCATCCACGGGCCCGAATTTCTCAAACAGGGACCGCAGAACCGTCCTGTGACCTTCCCCAGATACGCCCTCCACCGGGACAGGCGCCCCTGCCTCGGAACAGAAGGTGAGCTCCAGGAACCGCGTCACAGTAAACACCTCCCCGTCCCACGACCACCCAGATACACCTGAGCCAGCACCTGACGCAACACCTGAACCAACAGCAGCAGCGGCAGCAGCTCCTGCTCCTCCTGCCGCCCCACCCCTCTCTAATTCCCTCTGCTGCGCCTCCTTCCCCACTCCTCCCCGCTCGTCCCTCTCTCCCTCGCCCCTGTCCCCACCACCAGCCTTAACACCACCACTACCAGCAGAACCAGCACCAGCGGAACCCACTGCCGTAGCAGCCGCCGTCGACGCTGCCGCCGCCGCCGCTGCAGCAGCAGCAGCAGCGGCAGCAGCAGAGGCAGCACTAGCGTCTCTGAGGGCACCTAGCAGAGTCTGGAGCGGGTTCCAGGCATCCCCAAGGGAGTCTATCGCTGCCGAGCCACTCCGCCGAACCTGCTGCAGCACCGCAGCTAGCCACCGAAGCGACTCCGGACGTCCATCCAAGGCGTGGAATGCCATGCTTGACTGCTCCTCCTGCGCTCTCTTCCTCTTGCTCCTCGCACTCTCCTCCTTGCCCGTCTCTCCTTGTAGCCCGAACTCCTCTCTCCCCTCCTTTTCTTCCCTGCCCTCCCTGTCCTCCCTGCCCTCCCTGTCCTCCCTCCCTTCACTGCCCCCCCTAGCCTCCTTCAAGTCTTCCTTCTCTTCCTTAAAAACCATCTTTGATGCACTCCCCTCTGCCTCTTCCTCCACTTTCTCCTCCTCCTCTGCTTTTCCTATCTTCTCCTTCCTCAGACCACTCACCTCATCGCCTTTGTCACCATCACCATCACGAGCCTCCTTCTCACTTTCACCCGCTGCTAATGCTGCTGCTGCTGCTGCTGCTGCCCCTCTCTCTCCTCCCTCCTCTCCTCCCTTACCCTCATCGTCTTTCTCGTCCCCTTCCTTCATCTCCATCCCTTCATCCCCCCCTTCTTCCTTTCCCTTCTCCTCCTTCTCTTTCTCCTTCTCTTTCTCACTAACCTTTGCCCTCTTACCCTTCCTCCTGCCTTCTTTACTCTCCCACTCCCCCTCCCCTCCCACCACCTCCCGAGCAGCAGTCACCTGCAGAAGAAACGAGATCGCCTGCTTACCCCTCTGCCTCTCACCACCACCCCTCCCCACCCCTCCACACCCCCCCGTCCTTGCCTGCTCTATCGCCGCTCCCAGCATCGCCTCTGGCTGTAACTGCATCGCCCGAACCACCGCCGCTGCCACGATCTGCTTAACCGAGGCTAGCTCCGGACCTGCGGTCAGCTCCAGGCTTCCGTCCTCCGAGCCTGAGTCTGGTGGTAACCCTACTGCGGTGCTGCTACCTCCAGTTCTGTTCCTTTCTGCATCGTACAACGAGCCACCGTCAGGAGAAATTCCCCGTTTGCCCTCAGCCAACGCTGCTGCTGATACCGCTCCATCTCCTGTTAAAGGCCTTCCACTCAAATCGGTAACAGAGGAAGGAGCGTTGAAATCGCCACCGGCAGCAGCAGCACCAGCATCACCACCACCAGCAACATCACCAGCAATGGCAGCAGCAGCCGCAGCTGCTGCTGAGTCAGGAGCATGAAAGGGAGGCAGGGGCAGGGTGCAATCCGGATGCAGGTGCGACAGGAGAAACCGGGCCACATCCCGAGACACAGCAGAGGAGAGGTACGCCGGAGCAGACGTGCGCGAGGAGGGGGCTGTAGCAGACGCTGCAGCCGCCGCTACAGCCAGGATGGACGCCAGGCCGAGGAACGCCGACCGCACCGTCGCCATGATTACCTTGGTGTCGTCGGGCGGCGGGCCGAGATTGCGGCGACATGCTGCTTTGTTGGTACCACCAGGTACAGGGCGCTCAGCTGCTGCTGCTGCTGCTGCTGCTGCTGCTGCTGCTGCTGCTGCTGCTGCTGCTGCTGATTCTGTTGATGCCTCTGCAGAGGCGGCAGTCGTGGAATCGCCAGGGCCTTGTTCCATACCCGACCCTTCTTCTTCCTTTGCTGCTCCTCCTCCTGCTTCCCCTCCACCTGCTTTCTCACGCGCCCCTGACTCCCCCTGCTGCCCCTGCACCCCCCTTTCCCACTGCTCGGACTTTCCCTCCGCCCCTTCCCCCTGTGCGCCTCTCCCGTCCCCTGCTTCCCCCTGCGCGCCTCTCCCCCCCTCCGCTTCCCCCTCCCCCACTCCCCCCGCTTCCCCCTGGCGCTGCAGCAGCTCCGCCACGCACCAATCCGCGAGCTGCATGAGCGTCTGTGCCGCGTCCGGCAATCCCGAGGGGCAGAAGCGCGCATAGCGGGGGATGAGGCCCGCTGCTACCCTCCGCACGCTGATGCAGCCTGGGGGGAAGGGGGGAGGGGGAGGTGGGGGAGGAAAGAGTGGGGAGAGAGAGCTGCATGAGCGTCTGCGCCGCGTCCGGCAATCCCGAGGGGCAGAAGCGCACATAGCGGGGGATGAGGCCCGCTGCTACCCTCCGCACGCTGATGCAGCCTGGGGGGAAATAAGGGACGGGGAAGAGGGGTAAGGGAAAAAGGAGGGGGGGTATCAGGGGAAGAGCGTCCAGCAGTCCCGAGGGGCAAAGCGTGCATAGCCTTGGATGAGATCCGCTGCTACCCTCCGCACGCTGATGCAGCCTGGGGAAAAGGGACGGAGGGGGGAGCGAGCGGGTTGTAATGAAGGAGCGAGTTGATACTCCCTCGCGTATCCTAGCTGAACTAACGAAGTAAGTAACTTATCTTATCCCGATCCGGCTACTTCGTTGGTTTGGCTAGGTTACGCGTGGAATTATTTTAGCATCGTAAAAAACACCGCATCCCTCCCAAAGCCTCTTCCCTTATGCCGTACCCCATGTCTTGAGACGTCTTAAAATTTTCAAGTTTTGAGACGTCTCAAAGCTCCCAAGGCCTCTTTCCCTATACCGTACCCCATGCCGTACCCTACGCGGTACCTAGATATATTAAAATTCCATTGTCTTAGCTATCCCGTTCCTAGGCCGTTCCGTATGCCATACGCTATCCCGTACCCTATCCCGCACCCTATCCCGCACCCTGTCGCGTACCTTAATAACGAACCTTTACCGCATTCAACCCCGCACCTTGAGCCGCGTCAAGCATCGCAAAGAACGCTGCCTGGATGTCTTTATCCGCTCCCGGCGGTTCCCCGCCGTCGCCTCTCCGCCGCTGCAGCGCCGCGCGCAGCCGCCCGTACGCGCGGAACACAGCCGCCAGCTGCGCGCGATTCCCCGCCTTGGCTGCACGATCCGCGGGGCTAAAGCTGCCGCAGCCCCCCCCGAATCCGCCATCGGAGCCGGATTTGATCGCAGGGCGACTAGCGATTGCTTTCGCCGATGCCATATCACTGACGTGTGTAGCCGGCTCTTACTGAGAGTGCGGCGAGCACACAATGTGACACTAACGGGGATGGAGAGCGTAAAACTGTACTAATGTGAAGGCTAACGAGGCTAATATAGCGTTATCATCCTCGTTACAGTATAATTCCTGTTAAAAAAACAAATCCACGCCATACGACCGCTCAGACACAGACATGAGACAGAGACACGCGAAGGAGTCCGAACAGCGGGACACGCGTCCAGTCAATCAACGGTATTGTTGCTGACAGATTTGTGAAGAGCCTAGATAACTCCAGCAGCTGCTGTGAAAGGCAAACCAAGGTGAAGTGGAGGGAACGCCAAAGCTTTTTAGAAGCAACTTCGATACGTGGAATCAGAACCATGCACAGAAGGCAAGGTGTTGACCAGTCTTTGAACAGAAATCCAAAAGATATATATATATATATTTTCCAAGTGCTTAGTACACCCAAAGGTATTAGTACGGGTTACAATAGATACACATTGTTAAATATATGGATAAATTTCCCAAACCACTCTACCAGATAACGCTTTCATTTTCCACTCATCTCTCCACCACCCTACAACCTTGCCTACTCAACTTCCCATGCTAGCCAAAGCCAAATCTGGCGATTCAAGACCTACAGGGCTGCGAGCACTGCTGGGAGTAGCACCTGCACCTACACCTGCACCTAGGGATGCAGCAGCAGGTACAATCCTGAGGTTTTCCGCTCCCCTACTCGCATCACACGCATAGAGATTCGCCACGCTGTCAGCAGCCACGTCAGCAGCGCCTGCTGTTTGCGCTTCTCGTCCTGCCTCTGCATCTGTACCCAAGTCCACATCCATCCACTCATCCACCTGCCTGCTGCTCTCACTCCCTAACCTCTCAATCCCTCGCCTCTCCCCCACACCAGCATCCACCTCATTCCCCACTGCGCCTCCTTCCCTGGGAAACTCCTGCCCTAGGCTGTAACCCGAAGCTGTAACACTCGGAGCTGTAACATTTGAAGCGGCAACATCAGAAGCAGTAACATGAGCATTTGTATCGACTGCCAGTATATCAACAGCTGGCGACAACACATGAGGTGTAGGAGCTGTATGGTGAGCAGGTGAGCTATACGGCGCTGCTGCTAAGGTGTACGGGGCTGGAGACATGGTGTAGGAAGGCGACGGGAGAGTGAGGGACGGAGAGGGGAAGGATGAGGGCAAGGAGGGCGACGGGAAGGAGGACAGGTGCGGGAACGGGCTCAACGGAGGCCCGTACAGCTCCGAACCTGCCCCGAACAGGCCCGGAGCGACCGAACCAAACGAGGCACTACCGAACCCACTGCTGCCGCCGCACCCACTGAAACTGTTGCAAAGGCTGCTCCCACCACTCACTCCTCCTCCTGCTGGTGAGGTGGGTTTGTGTGCGGGACTGGGACTGTGGGTGAGAATCCAGGAATCAGCAGCTGCAGAAGCACCTGAGTGCATGAGACCACCAGGTGAGCTGGGAGCATACACGTGCTGCTTCTGGGAAGGTGCGGCTGCGTATGTGAGTGCGGACGGGTCTGAGAGTGCAGCAGTGGTTGGAAGCGCAGGAGAGTTGGCTGGGGAGCAGCCTGAAAGATTAGCAGCATTGTCAAACGTGTTAAATCCTGCAGCATCAGCATCTTCGCTTGTTGTTCCTCCAGCTGATGCTGCTGCTGCTGCTGGAAGATCCATTTCCTCTCTTGCACGCTTCCTGGAACCTTCATTTAACGAGTGGAACTGCGCTGCTGCTGACGTGTCGACGAGTGATGCTGACGTATTCCCATGCACACGCTTCACCTTCACCCTGTGTGGGCGATCAGCTGGCGCTTTGAACAGACCCGAGGGCCGATTCCCATCTCCACTTGAACCAGGAATCGTCTTCAAGTCACGGTTCATCTGCTGTGCGTCCACCTCTTCTGCTCTCGACCTACCCTGCAGCTGCATATCCGCCTGCTCCCCTCCTGCTGCTCGCTCCTCTCCCACAGGCGTCTCGCGGCTCACCACCGTTGTTTCCCCGTCTCCTGCCCGGTTTGCTGCCCCGTCCTCCCACTCTGCCCCCCCTGCCCCAGCACCAGCAGCAACGGGGCGAGCAAGTACCGATCCATTCATAGTGATGAGCACATGCCGCCTCTTCCTCCCTTGCATGTTCCTCCCTTGCATGTTCCTCCCTTGCATCGCTTCATACTGCTGCATCGCCTGCTCATCTCCCTCTCCCTCCTCATCTCCCCCCACCTCTTCCTTGTCCTCGTCATCATCTCCCCCCTCCTCTTCCTCCCCACTCACACACTCCTCTTCCTCATCATCATCTCCCTCCTCCTCCTCATCCCCCACTCCCCCCCCTTCTCTAATTTCCAATGACCCCTGCATTTCATATCCCCCACCCTCATAATCACACAAACCGTCCTCCTCCCCTCTCTCATCATCCGCCCCCTCCTCTTCTTCCTCCTCATCCTCGTCTTCTTCCTCCTCCTCATCCTCGACTTTCTCCTCTTCCTCCTCTTCCACCACCACTTCCACCGCAGCACCACTCCCAACCGCACCCAAACCCTGGACTCTCACTCCATACTCCACAAACCCCCCTCTCATCCCTTCCTCTTCATCCCCCTCCTCTTCTTCTTCCTCTTCGTCCTCCTCCTCCTCATCCTCCTCATCATCCCCCTCACCTTCCCCCACCTCCCCTCCTCCTCCCTCCTGTATCTGCTGACCCAGAATCAAACCCTTTCCATGCACTCTCCCATCCTCCCCCTCCTCCCCCTCCCCCTCCTCTTCCTCCTCCTCCTCCTCCTCCTCCTCCTCCTCTTCCACCACCAATTCCGTTTCATCATCATCAGAATCGGCCTCCATGCCCAGAATCCTATTCTGCAGGGCTCGCCTCCTCAGCACAAACACATTGAAATAGAAGCTCACCAGCTCCTTCACACTCCGCACGCGCCTCCTCCGCCGCCCATCCGCGCACATCCCCATCCCCGCTAGAATCCCCCCCTGGTCCCCCGCGCCCTCCCCCCCAGCCTCCCCCTCCGCCCCTCCAGCAGACGCAAACGCGCGTTTTAGGGGTCCCCAGAAGTCTAGACCCTTACTCTGCGGGTAAAGTTCGACAATAGTAAGGAAAAGCTCTATTTCCTCGGGGCTCCACCCCTCCGCCACCTTCTCCCCCATTTCCGCCAGCCCTAGGGCGTGATACGCGGCGGGCCCCAGCTCCGCCTCCAGGTCCTCGTCCGCCTCGTGGCAGTGCGCGCGCACGCAGTCCGCGGACCCAGCCTTGTCCGCCCCGCACGCCGCGCACGCGCCGGGCGGAACGCGCAGGAGGTCGCGAGGGGGGAGGTGGTGGATTGTGCGGGACGGCTGGCGCTGGGATGGGAAGGGGGGGTCTTTGGGGGAGCCAGGGTGGTGGTGGTGGTTTTGGCGGTGGTGGTGGTTTTGGCGGTGGTGGTGGTGGTGGCGGTCCGGTAATGCATTCGGCTGCTCCTGCTGCTGTTGCCACGTGGCGGGTAGTGATTCGTCGAGAGGCGGGGGCTGTGCGGCTGCAGCAACAGGTTGAGCGACAGCCTCCTGGGTTGCCATGGATGATGCGACGGTTCCGGCGATTCCGCTGCAGCTCTGTGCGACAGTCCCTGCGACTTCTTGGGTGCCGTGCGACGAGGCTCCAGCTGCTGGCGACGTCGAGTCACGAGACGTGAGATTGCTAGCTGCGACACTGTTCGTTGCGACGTTAGAAGCCGCATCGCAATCGCTCAAAGCGGAAACGGAGCCGCCATCGATATTACCGTGAGAATAATTCACGCTAACATCAGCAACAGTGGCTGATAATACCAACGGAGCAGCAACGATATCACCTCTCTCTCCTCCCTCCAACACTAACTCGCCATCGATAATACCAGCATCTTCGTTAGTGTCACCGCCTTTATTGTCACCATCATGATCCGCCGCGCCAAGCATACCCTGAGGCACGTGCCAGTTGACCTTGCCTCCAGCCGAAGCAGCCAATGTCCCTCCGAGCCTCAGGTACGGGTTCCCTTTGCCTGCTCCTCTACCGACCCGCCTGGACCGGGCTAGGTCCGGCCAGACCTGCGTGCCGAGCCACTTCGCTTCCCATGCCAGCTCAGCATCACACGTTCCTTCTTCGCAGCAAACCCCGACCTCACCGACAGCCCCATCTTCCGGAGCGATCTTCCAGAAGCTTTCTTCAGCTGGCATCAGACGGTGGGGAGAAGAAAGCGGTTCCGGAATATCCGCCTGATAATCCGCGCCGATCGGCGGAGTCTTCCGCGTCGCGGGAACCGCGAACTGCGCGTGGCGCAAGGGGGACGGCCACGGGGAAGGGGAGTTCCACGGAGAAGGGGAAAGCCAGCGGGAGGGGGAGCGCCACGGGGAGGCGGAAGCGGCCCATGGCGACGGAGACGACAGCCTGGCTGGTGAAAACGTCGACGCATAAGGTGACGGAAAAGTCGACGGAGACGAGGATACCGGCGGCCATCTGCTTTGGCTCGCGGCAGCGGCGCCGTCTGGCACGGCGAAATAAGTTGCAGCTGCAGGAACGTCTTGAGAGGCGGAGTTTACCCTCGCGAAACGGCGTTCCGCGACATCTGATTCAGCAGCTCTCGAAGATGTTGCTCCTACGTTCGTATTTTCTCGAGATGGTACAGATCCGGGAACTGCGGTGTTCGTTGGCACTGCATCATTTATGTCAGCGACGCGCGTTAAGACTGTCGCCCCGCCGGCTCCACTCGGCAAGCTTCTTTCTTCCTTAGGTACGCCTTGATACTTGGTTCCAGCATCACGATCGGAAGCTTGTGAAGCATCCATGCTGTTGCCGTTGTAAGATTATTTACTGCGCGCAGCGCGTGTTGGGCTACAAATTTTAATTTATTTCTTGATTATTTCGAGTCGCCCTCGGTTTCAACTGACAACTTATGTCTAAAATAGTAGCATCAAGACTGCCACGTGGCGGCACGCGATTGAAGCAAACTAGGGTTTCAAGAAATGCACTTCAGATCCATCAAACAGTAGCTAGAAGGACATTGGATCCAAATCGCAGTCTGAAATCTGAGACATTTAGCGAATTCCCAATGTGCCTTCGCCGTAGTGTGGCGAAGCCATTTATCGAAGTCGGAGGCTGCGTTTTCAAAGTTCGCCACCGTAGGTTACCCCGAAGGTTGCCTCACTGCATGAGAAACTGAGGCTTGCACCACCGAGAATGACGTTAGCAGGAATCAATAGAACACTATGTTGTACACTAGATCCTGCTTATACTGTTTTCTAAATCTTCTCATGACCACCTCAACTTCATCCTCCCAACTTGTGAGGTCTTCCAACTGCAAGAAAATGAGGGGGGCACACAGTAGCACTGGCCACGTTAGAAGGAAAAGCAATCGTAGGACCCTGGATCTCCTCGAGTATCCTTGGTTAAATGCACGTATGCTGGATGCTTCTGCTTCTTAAGCATGTGCACTAAGACCTTGTAAAAGGGCATTACATGTACACAATCTGCTGGGAAATATACCCGTCGTTTTGAAACATGGGTCCATGTTTCCTCAACGTGACAGATGCGCTCCCTGATTGGCCTCACCATCCTACAAAGTCGTAGAGCCGCTTCTGCTCCAGATGCTGCTTCTTCATGCGTATCTCTAACTTCAAGGTTGATGACCAGTGCTGCTTGATGAAGTGTACGCTCCCGAGCAAACATGTCTGCAACACAGTACCACCAGATGAGCACAGGAATGAAGCGATTCTTGATCATTAGATCTGATGTATTGAACATCAACAGTTACAACACCGCTAACTCATACCGGTGAAAATCTTGACATTTCCCCCCCTGAAGAGGATTTTCATGCACATGCTATAGTAGATTACTATACTTTCTCCAAAAACAGCATTCACCAGCTGTTGGTACTTCTGCTGATACTACGTATTCTCAAGACCCTGCAAACGGATGAGGGCTACTAAAAATGCAGAGGAATATTGACGCTGCTGATAAATGAAAGACTAAGTGAGTGGACGTGTCATTGACTGACTGTGTGTCAGCATATCTGTGCATGCATGTATGGGTGTGTCTACATGAGTGTAATCGTGACGTGTGTGATGGATGTGGGTGTGCGAGCGTGCATGGGTGCGTGTGTGCGCGTGATGGCTGCGTGAGTGAGGGAGGAAAGACGCTCAGGTAATTGCAAGAGTCCATGAGTGACAAAGCAAAAGTGACAGGGCATGCAGAAGAGCCACAGACGAGAAGGTGGGGAGAGGGCGAAGGAGAAAAGGACCGAGCAAGCTGCATGTTTTCGGGAATGAAGGTGAAACGGACGTGAGTCCAGGTGACATAACATCCACGACAAAACTAAAATAACAATATGTAACCACTTGCGTGACTTGCGACCTTAACCCTTGAATATCAAAGCTACAAGAGACATGTCCGCGTAGGGATTCGGAACACTCGTTACCTTCAATGACCATGTCAAAAACTCGCTCCTCAAATGTAATGACGACATCGAAGGGACCGTCAGCGGCATTGTCCTGCCACTTTTGAGGAGCTTCCTTGACCGCAAGATTCCGTTTCAGCATTCTTAGGATGCCATTCCTTTTATACCTGAGAAAACCATATATTACACACTCGGCAAATGAACGAATAAGTAAATTGATAACCAATGTGTGAACGCTAGACCTGCAGAAGCTTGCCGAAGATTTGAGTACCATGTATTTTGAACTGAGTGAAGTGTCTCACTTACAGCTCAGGGTCTTTGCCTTGAAGCTCCTCAAACATGTATTTGTACGGCGTGCCGAATTTATAGACATTGGGTTCTCGTATACTTGGTCCAGGGAGCTTGACGTTACTGCCGGTACCATACGAGCTGACATCGAACCCTTCTCGTTGAAGAATCGCATGTGATTCCATGCTACGGTTCTGATTCGATGCGCAGACCATGGCGAACCGAAGACGCATCTTGTGCAGCGGTATATTCAGATCCGAGACTTCGTGGGCTCAGCACTTACAAAACCCGAAGGAATGCCACAGAGAGTGACAGGACGGACGTAAAACAGCACGAGAAACCGTTTTCGGACATCAACTACCTAAAAATGATAATAGCGATGTCATTCTCATAAGCTTCCGCAGGTGAAGAGGACCGGTAAAAAGCGGAGAATCCTCTAGTGCCAGAAATTATCCTAGCCTGTGCCTGTAGAACCTAACAGCTTGCCTGTATGTGGAACTTATCAGAAAAGTACTCGTGCAGCAAATGGTGGTGGGCCTTTGTACTTTGCCTGCACGAACCCCAACAGAGATAGTCATGGATATCTCTAAATTTAGGGGGTAAACATTACTTTTCTTTAGTAGCCCTGAAAAGTTTCGTCGTCCCTGTGAGAAAAAAGTTCGGGCAGCTGGATGGAGCATCATTTTGGCAAGAGCTGTCAGTTGTGTCAGTTGTGCTCTGGTAAGTGAAAAGGGTGTTTTGGTGGCATGTAACTAACCTAGACATTCCGGAAACTTTTCATGCAGCAGTTTAAATTCGCAAACCACCCTAATTCATCATCAAGAGAAAATGCCCTCCGTGATAGGCCTTCCCCTTCATCCTGTTCCAAAATAACTGATTTTCGGAGCGGATGGTTCGAATTCAAGCTAAGAGTGAAAGGAATCACCGTCCCAACCATGGCACATACGCGTAGAATTCGGAGCTAATAGACAAACTGAGTAACTTGTAAGGCGGGATTCGTACTCTTCTACCAACCGCCGTTCGTTTTTCTTGAAACAACGGCAATCTATCCACCGTCGCCTCTCCCATAAAAAAGGCATGCGAACCCGCGGTTTCGCTTAGTCGTCCCGTCGTCACTTGTTTTCCCCTCTTTTGTCTCCTTGATATCGTGAAAATTCGATCTTCCGTGCATGTCTTCACCTCCTATACCCGTCTCCTTCAACCTGTCTGAGTCCACTCAAAAATCACCGCAGGAGGCACCTCGTTACATGTAAGTTACATGTCCCTTGGCAGTTTTCCCTCGTTACATATCCTTCGTCCGCCTCCCTCTCCTCCCGCTCCCGCGCATTGTTTGCAGCAGAACGAGCACGAGTGAGAATTGCACAACCACACCCCCTCGCCCCTCCGTCTCCAAACACGCGCGCACACAAGCCCAACGCTTCGAGGCGTTTTAGAGGGTTCCATGTCTCATTCCAAGCAGCCCAGGAGCCAAGGGAAGAGGAAAGACGGCAAGAATAGGCCCAGAGGAGGAGTGCGAGGAGGAGCGGAGAGCTCCATAGGAGACCCTTTTGCTCTCTCGGAAGAGCGTCTGGTGTCGCTTGATCTGGAGGGTGGCTTGAATCAACGGTGAGGATGAATTTCATGCTTGTAAGGTATCGCTCTTCGTCTTTCTTTCTGACTTCACAAGTGTCTGCTTGTTCTCCGTCTTGCCCTCCCTCTGCTGCGTGTGTCCGTTTTTGTGGCAGCGTTTCCCAGTCTTTGTTCATGTGCAGATTATTGCATGCATGTGCATATCCCTACATGCATGCGTCCACGTGTGTGATGAAACATGCATTTCCACAAGTGATTATTCTGAGGCATGCCATGAGCATTCCTTCCCTGTGTGTGTCTGTGCGTATATGTCCCCCATTTGTTTTGCACATGACACATATGCTGCCATGCTTGCCTGCACGCATGCACATCCCATGCATGCATGGCCACAGGAGGGACTACTCTGAAGCATGTCGCGAGCTCTCTCTCCTGCTCCGCCTCTGCTACTCCCTCTCTCCCAAGCACGTGCAATCCCACCTCTACTTTCTCGCTCAACAAGCCATTGCCAACCTCCCCTGGTATGAATGGAGGGTTTTTAGTCAACTAGAAAAAATTCACCTGCTCCGCCTCTGCTACTCCCTCTCTCTCAAACCAGTGCAATCGCACCTCAACTCCCTCGCTCAAAAAGCCATTGCCAACCTCCCCTGGTAACGTTACATATGAGCTGGTTTTTGAGAACTTTGAGGAAACAAATTGCACCTTCACTTGCATTCTCATCTCAACAAGCCATTACTAACAACTCCTGGTACAGTGACGTATAATAATTGGGAACAGCTCCCTTTATGCATGCCTCCCATGTGTTTCGTTGTTGCCAGCATGGACGGCGCTCTGCACAGGTCAGCAGCACGCCAGCTCATCCAGGCGTGTCAGGCGGCGCTGCCACGTCAGCGCAAGCAAGCGGTTACCGCCGAGTACAAGCGACTCTGCGTCATGCTCGCTCGGGCGGAGAAGAAATCCGAGAGTGCAGTGGAAGAGGAGGAGGAGGAGGAGGAAGAAGAGGGGGATGAGCAGCAACAGCAAGAAGCAAATGACTTCAATGGAAGCTCCAAACAGGGTTTCCAGCCCTTGAACTTTGAAAAATGCTCCAGCATGCTCCCTCTGGTCCCCACCTCTCAAACATGCTCCATCACTTCTACTCCCCCATCTCTCCCTCCTCTCCCCTCTGACATCCTCCATCTCCTCTTCTCTCACCTGGACCCTCTCTCACTTGCCCGAGCCTCTGCTGTATGCTTCCACTGGAGGGAGATTGCAGCTGCTGCCGAACCTGACTGGGTGACGCACCTCGCTGCTTGCCTCGGTTCCATGCCTGCTGCTGAGGCTCGGGAGAGCAGGGATGGGAAGGGCCGAGCTGGAGGAGAGGTGCAGGAGGGGCAGACGCCGTTGTGGCAGGAGTTTGTTTCTCAGTGTGCAAGGGGTGAGTTTTCGTTGCTTCAAGTCGACATGATTTCACTTTTTTCTTTTCCTTCGTTTTGTCTCACGTTCGTTTCTCTGTCGCTTTCAGCTTATGTTGTGTCAGAAAGATTTTCAAGCTTGGTTTCAGAATTTTGCAAGCATGTTGATTCCACATCCTACCATGGGTCCCAGCAAGCAACACCACACCGCACCACACCACACCACACCACACCACACCACAACGTGGATGAGTAACCCATTTTGTGTCATGTCTCTTGCTCCCGCATCACACTCTCCCCCTCCATCCTCCTCTTGCGTGCGTCTCCCTTCACTTAGTTGTCGATTCCCTCTCTTTGCCTTCTCTCACCTTCCATATCCCCTCTTCCAGCTACACCATTATCCTCCTTACAGTCCAACCGGGTACTGTGTAGGGAGTGCAGCATGGTGGCGTGGACACCCAATGCCGCCCCCACACCTTCTCCTCACGCTACTACTCCCTCTTCCCCCTCGGTTGCACCATCGCTAGCCACAGCCACTCTCTCATCTGCTCAGTTTTTCCGGGGAAAAAATAAGGGCAGGGGTGGAATTGTCACTCCAGGGAATATCAGTGCGGGTACGGGTGTAGGTGTTGGTGTTGGTGCTTCTGGAAAGGAAAAAGGAGCTGGAGCCTGTTGCGGGAGCAGCATGGCTGGTGGTTCTTCTGCTGGAGCTGGAAGGGCCGGTAAAGTGGGTAGTGAGACCGTGGACGGGCATGATGTAGCAGCAGACAGGTGTGAGTTGGCAAGCAGGAGTGGTGGTGGTGGTGGCGGTGGTGGTGGTGGCGGTGGCGGCAGTTGCAGCGGCAGCAGCAACGGCGGCAGCCGTGCGGCGGCAGTGGGAGCGAGGTTCTTTGCTAGAACGTGTCGTGTGAAGAGCGCAACGAGACGGGGGTACAGAATGCAGCAGCACGTGTGGAAACTTGCCGGAACAGCAAAGGTGAGGGATGCAGCTTCCGTAACTGCTGTGCCACACACGAGACTGCTTATTGTCCATAGCTCTTTGTTCTTTGTGCTACGCCGGCACCTCGTAATCACAGTTATATATGATCCCTGTTGCTTCCTGCACACATTGTGATCACGCATGCCGCTCTCAAGCGCGTGAAGTGAGAAATTATCCCTTGTTGCGCTCTTCACGCAGCACATTGTGTGCTGAGCTCTCTCCGCCCCTCCTAGTGCAGGTTGTGGCATCCCTCTCTGACGAGTTTGAGGGGGAGGAGTCCAGTGACGAGGATGGCGAAGGAGTAGGTAGAATTGGTAGTTACCACCCAAATGCATCTGCTGTGTCTCTCACTTCCTCTCACTCGGCCCGGCCCTGTGCAGGTTGTGGCATCCCTATCTGACGAGTTTGAGGGGGAGGAGTCCAGTGACGAGGATGGTGTTGGAGTAGGTAGAACTGGTTACCGCTCCAACGCATCTACTGTCTCACGGTTTTGGTAGGACTTTCATTCTAATGCAGCAATTTATTGGTGCATTGTTGTGCTGCTTTTTTAGGCGCCGCAAAATCGTGTTGGCAGGACTTCAATTCAATGCAGCAAATTATTGGTGCATTGCAGGGGTTTTTTTATCAGAGTAATTTACTCTGTTTCTCCGAAAATCAGAGTGGTTTTTAGGGGGTCACTCTGACATGTCAGTAATTTTTTTTGGAAGATTAGTTTTCTCTAATTTAGCTACTCTGAGACACCAGTGTATATTTTTGGCGAATGTATTTTTCTCTGTACAGGGTATAGGCATTTCGACCGAGCTTCCGAAGATGATTAATCCGACTTGATCAAATTATATTGTCTGCTCAAAAGATGTAAGCGCGTAGCACAACGGTTATAATTTTGGTAGGAGTGCATAAGGCCTGGGTTCTATACTTGAGAGGACAGTCAGGGTCGGGAAAATAGTTACACTGACTGCCCAGAGCATATTTTTCAGAAGTCAAAGCCAGCAGCTAAAATAGTGATCCCCCCCCTTCTAGTGGATCCACTTGAAATCTCAAACTAACCTTTTTAATGCTTTTGACGGTTGAAGCGTTGTTCTGTTTTGTTTTTCAGACGCGTTCAAGTCTTCACAGTGATTTTCACAAAAAATGTCGCAAGCATGTGCAAATGCGACGTGCGATTCCCGATTACACGAGGGGGCCAATTTCAACAGGTTTTGCATGTGCAATTCACGCACAACAAACGCCTCAGACATGGACCTGCTGGAGCGGCACAAACAGCGTAGGAAAAGCAGAAATGCATAAAAAACAGAGAAGTTTTATGTTATGAATAAAAAAAAACGAAGAACGAGAAGGAAACGACAACGCACGTAGAGAGCTGATTGAGCGAAAATTGTGGAATGGTAGGGTGTGGGGAGATGGGAGGGGAGAAATGAAGGGTGACTTGCAGGCATTTCGGGGCGAGCGCGAAGGTGCCGAGATGGGTGATGGGAGGGGAGAAACGAAGGGCGACGGGCAGGCATTTCGGGGCGAGCGCCAGGGCGCCGAGGTGGGTGACGGGAGGGGAGGAAGGGCGATGACTGTTTCGAGGGAGAGAGGATAGGTGACGGGAGAGATAAAGGGCGACGGGAGAGAGGATAGGCGACGGGAGAAAGGAAGGGCGACGGGAGAGAGGATCGGCGACGGGAGAGATAAAGGGCGACGGGAGGGAGGGCAACGGGAAAGAGAAAGGGCGACGTGACAGAGAAAGGGCGACGGGAGAGAGCAAGGGCGACAGGAGAGAGAAAGGGCGATGTGACAGAGAAAGGGCGACGGGAGAGAGAAAGGGCGACGGGGGAGAGAAAGGGCGACGGGGAGAGAAAGGGCGACGGGGGAGAGGATAGGCGAGGGTAGATAGGAAGGGCGGAGGGAGGGGCGATGGGATGGGCGACGGGAAGGGCGACGGGATCGACGACGGGATGGGCGATGGGATGGGCGACGAGATGGGCGATGGTATGGGCGACGGGATGGACAATGGGATGGGCGATGAGAAGGCAGCGGGACGAGCCACGGAAGGGCGGCGACAATCGCGTGGGTAAGGGAGGCGAAAGGAGTTCGCGTGGGCGACGGGACGGAAAACCGCGGGCGCGAAGGGACAGACTGAAAAGCTTACACACATAGCTTTCAGATACAACACGACAGACATTCTGATTAATACATGTGTAGATAACGAGGGCCTAAGTTGAGACATAGCCTATGCCTAGCCTAGCTACTTAGAACTTCCGACGCAAAATTGGTAGTAGTTCACCCCATCCCAACTTGAAACATCAGTTGGGCCCAAATCGCTTGGACAGACTGAAACGATCGCCTGTGCAATTGTCGTGCGGGCTTAGCAATGAGAAGTGCGACGCCACACATCAGGAAAATGTCTCAATTTTGGCGGGAACCAATCAAAGGTGTTCGATTTGCACGTCCGCAGCGTTTGAAACGGTACAAACTTCTCAGACCATCTAAACTTTGTTTCGCCCGGCAAACTCGTCCCTGCGCCCTTTTCTCTGACAAATCAGAGTAACGCTCATAATTCACCCTGAATTTCAGAGTTCCCTTGAAAACAGTAGTGGAAATAAAAAAAAAGCCCTGGTGCATTGTTGTGCTACCATGGATGTTTATCACCTGCCCGTGCTCTTTGTTTCACCATACCTACCATACCGTATCTTTGTATAATGTATTGTACCGTAATACCCCGGATATAAGACCCGGGGGTATTATAAGAATCCCACTCCAAAAATGAGGGGGGGTCTTAACAGTTGGCTACTTTTTATAAGTTCTGGGTCTTATCATAATGTCAAGGATACTACTTCTGTTTTGGAAGTCAAACATGTCAACACTATGTGCTTCGTTTTTAGCATTCAAAAAGAATACGCGCAATGGAATTCGTGTTTATCATTCAAAGGATCTAGTGGATAGGATAGGATCTGTTAAGTCTGAGAGGAGACAATGAAGTCTCTGTAGTGACCTTGTTGAATAATAATTGAAAGAGAACAAGATAATTAAAACATAGGAGTACAAGAGATTAAATAGAAATCTAGCTAGCCATGTACTCTGAGGGGTACATTCCCTTATTAACTATATTGCATAGCTACAGTAACCGCGACTATTGCTATTCTCGACACACCCCCATAGGCAAAGTGGGGGAGAACAAGAGGTCACAAGACCAGTCAAGCAAAGCAAAGCAGGCTCAGGGTGGATCACAACGTCACCACACATTCTGAGCACAAGTTCAAGGCCACAAGGCTAGTTCACATGCAAGATCATATATAAAGGTAAACAAGCAAGTGCAGGTATAGATAGATCACAGTACAAGCAAGGTCAAGAAGTGAGCAAGTGAGGCCACGTATGCACAAGACCTAGCATCGTACAGCAGCGCTGATGATCACAAGGCGGAAGTGCCTTGGTAAAGATATCAGCAGTGTTGGCCTCAGAGGCCACGTAAGCAAGGCGCAGCTGACCACGCTGCTGCAGCTCACGAGCAAGGAAAAAACGAAGAGCAATGTGCTTCGTTCTGTGCTCCAGTCTGTGCTCCCGACACAAGGCCAACATGGCCTTGTTGTCTACGTACAGAACTGGAGCAGAACGAGGCGGCTCTCCCAAGTCGGTCAGCAGTTAGGTGAGCCAGCGTAGCTCCTGTGCAGCCATGGCCCCCACGTAGATCTCAGCCTCACAGCTGAGCCGAGAACAGAAGACGAGCGGGTGGACCGCCACGAAACAGAGCCGGAACCAAGGCTGAAGGTGTAACCCTGTGACGACCGCTGCGTAGCCTGGTCGTCAGCCCAAGAAGCGTCTGCGTGACCGGTGAGGACCGCTGATGGCCGCCCTCCAAGCACTAGTCCCATGCCTGACGTACTGCACAAGTAGCGCAACACCCTCTTCGCTGCAGCCATGTGCTCTGGTCGATGTCTCCCAGGAGCAACATAGCGTGCCAAGATGCTAAGAGGGTATGCAAGGTCCGTTCGAGTGCTGGTCATCAGGTACATGAGGCAGCCAATAAGCTATGGGTACGGGCCACTCGGCTCTACGGACTCATCCGAAGGCAGAGCTGAGAGCGAGTGGCGAGTAGACAGAGGAGTGGCCTGAGGCGAGGAGTACGTGAAGCCGAAGCGCTGAAGGACCTGCTGCACCATGTGTGACTGAGTCAGGGTAATGGTGCGCTGTGCTCTGTCCCGGGTGATCTGCAAGCCAAGGTAGTTGCGCAGTTCACCCAGCTCTGTGCACGTGTGTCTCTTCTGCAGCTCGGACTTCACGTGGGCGAGTCCAGCAGTGTCAGCAGTGGAAAAGACCAAGTCGTCGACGTACACGAGGATATAGAACGGCGGCAAAGAGGTGTCGGTGCGTAGAAACAGCGACGGGTCGGCAGTAGAAGGAGCAAACCTAGGAGCCGCAAGTGTAGTCCTCAGTGTGTCGTGCCACTCACGGGGCGCCTGGCGGAGACCGTAGATTGGCCGCCGGAGGCTCCACTGGGTACTAAGAGGAAACGACCTAGTGAAGCCAGGTTGGCGGCGCAGCCGGATCTCCTCGTGCAGGCTGCCCTGCAATAAAGCTGTGCTGAAGTCAAGAGAGTGAAGCTCGTAGTCGCGCTGAGCGGCTATGTGCAGCAGCACCCAAAGAGTGGTCATCTTCGGGGTGGGAGAGAAGGTCTGAAAGTAGTCAACTCCCTGCCGCTGACTGAAGCCTCGAGCCACGTAACGCGCCTTGAAGACAGGCGAAGAACCCGACGGCCGCTTCACCCTGAAAATCCACATGCCACTGACGAGAGGGGCCGTGAGGGGCTTTAAGAGGGGCGGGATGGGCCGCTAAGGGCAGGGGACGCGACGGGAGGGCAGGCACACGGGGCGCGACTGTGGCAGGGGCGAAGCGCGCTCGAGGCAGGAAAAAGAATCGATTTTCGGTGGGCCCTAGGAAACGTTCCCACTAGGGAACCTGCTCCATACCATGTGAAAGAACGAGGAATGAATGCACTAGGAAACAGGTGGGTACAAGTAGGAAAACCTAAAAGTGTTGTACCCCATATTGTGTACTACCCCACTACAGCCTACACAGACTATAGGATATAAGTTTGACAGTTGGAGTCGAACAATGAATCCTGTGCGGGATCGTTTGTTGTCAACATCTCCAGCGTGGTCGGCATCTATGTGGCCATGGAGCTGTAGAGTAGCGGTGAGGTTAGCTTCGTAGGTGAGACCGACGTCGGGAGTGGAGATGAAGTACTGTAGTGCCCGGCGTAGATCCAGTAGATTCTCCCCTTCAGGTCGCCTCAGGTACTGTGCGAGCTGGCTTGCGGCGTAGGAGAGATCGGGCCGGCACGTGACGGTAGCGAACAGGAGACATCCCAGCTGCTGCTGATAGAGACGATGGTTGTTGGGAGAGAGCGGTGTGGTGTCTGGCTCGTGGTTAGGAGGAGGAGTGCGATAGGGGGTAGTGAGGTTGATTGGTGCGATTGAGAAGCGCTTCGCGAGCGTTTCGGCATACTTGGCAGCGA